TAAGTAAAAAATAATTATTATTTTGAGATAGTTGAGTAAGATTTTACCACTATTATTAATGAAAAATGGTTAATTAAGGAACAACTTTTTCGCATCCACATTTGGTTTAAAAAGAGAAGAAGGGAGGGGATGTCTCTCCATTTTTCTTTGTTTCTCTCCCTTCTTCTATCCTCAAACCAAACAAGTTATGCATGTTTATTTAATAATTATTTTTTTTATTTTATTATAATATATAACATTATATATATACTCATTCAATAATTAATAATATATAAAAATTATAGATAAAAATTATATAAATAAGTTATTCATATATCATTACTCATTATGAATAAAAATTGTAAAAAAAAAAAAAAATTTCCTACCTATCCCCCCTTTTCCTAACAAGTAACAACAAAGTATAAGACAGAATCTAAGAAAAAGCCGCAAACGATCAACACTTCCCCTTCTAATGAATCAATCTGTATCTATTAGAAAAAGAAAATTTGTTCCAGAATTGCCACGTGTGCCTCTCTCAGTCGCCACGCGTAGTGTAATGGATTCTATAAATAAGCTAAGTACAAGGTACCGTGTTGCACGCAGTGAGAACATGCCCTTCAAAACGAATGCAGATATGATAGGTAATGCTTGGAGAGCAAGTCTCACCAAACCGGAGAACAGAGCCGCGTTCGGCGGGTCTACGTCATATTTGAAATTTTGTTTGGGCAATCGATCGAGTTATATCAACAACGCGTTTGATTTTTGCTGTTTATAATCAAAGTCGGGCGATCGACCAAGTGATAAAATGTGTATATAAAGGTCATGGGACAGGAGAAATGGAAGCAAGTTGACGATGAAAAAACAGAACGTGGATAATCCTCCATCCTCACTCGGAAGCTCCACCCATCCCGGCACCAAACAAATCGGTGAGGTTTAATTTCTTCACCATCGATCTCTACCTTCTTTTGTTTGATCTAACTTAAATTGAGTTCTAATATCCAAAATGAAAAAAGAAAAAAGAAAAGACTTTAACAGCTCTGAGTTCATAGGGATGGGAGGAGAAGAATTGAATCAAGTCAAAACAGAGGTGAGCCGTTCCAAATTGCTCCGGAAAAAGCAGCGGAACCTTGAGGTTGTATTAGAGATGAACCGCTACTTATTATGCAATTCAAGATTTTTTTTTTTTTTTAAAGAACAAAAAAAAAAAGAAAAAAGAGATGAGCTGCATTTTCTGATCAAATGAGCATCTTAATTGTTAGCATATACTGAATCTTTGTGCTGTTTGTTTCTCTGCAGACCGAAAAGATTCTGAAGAAAATGAAGAAGATTATCAAGAAGAGTATGGTGGAGAAACTGGTGCTGATGAGGGCAGAGGCAAGTAGCTTGAGAGTGGAAATGGTAGAAATGGAGGCTGCTGGTGAACAGAAGGAAGAAAAGGTAAAATTCGAGAAGGAAAAACGTGATGGGGCTTTTGCTGAAGTGCTACTAATGTCAATAACAGAGCTTGCCCTCCTGAAGGTTTTGTTCCCGCCGAAAGAAGAGAATGACTAAATCGAAAGTTTGCAATCGTTCTTTTGGCTGTTCCTGCTTCTGCTGTTTTTAGTGTGTCTTTTGTCTCCTTTTTTTTTTTTTTTTTAGCAACATGTTGTGGTTGTTTACAGCATAAGCTTTGTTTGGAAGTGTTTGGCCTTGTTTGAATCGTTGCTTCCGTTTAATACACGGGACATTTCTTTGATAAGGAAATAACTTGTAGTATTTTACACCCAGAAATCTCTTTCTTCGTTTTTCACTGTCCTAAATTTGTATTTGTACCATTCAACTTGAAGTGTCAAATTTGTGTCTCACTGTGCTCTATTATTCACTACAATTTATTCTCTCCAATTTTTAATATATAGTTAATTTTCTAGATATAACTTTTCCTCAAAAGGAAAAAGTTTTTAGTTATTATAAATATAGTTCGTTAATCAACTAATTAATTATAAACAAACTATCTACTCCTACAAGAAAAAAAAAAAAACAATTTTGTGTAAAATTGACATGACAAAACGTGGTTTTTTAAGGGTAATTTTTTTTAGGTATTAAACCTTTGAGCTTGCGAATTACTTTTAGTAGAGAGCACAAGTAATCCTAAAACATTCGAACAACTCTTTTCACTTGGATTTTTTCCGTCAATCTGAGTCATATTAAATGAAAGACATGACCAAAAACAGATATAATTTGACTAAAAAGTACTACTAACTTTTAAAGTCTCTGATTAAGAATTAATCACTTTTACTTATATGGCTAATTATGATGAAAGTCAAGATAATTTCATTTGAGTAATTGTCGATTTTGTGCTTTTTCCGAGTTCCACGGATTTTTTCACACTTTAACTTGTACTTATTGACTTTGAGGTTTGGGCTTTCAAAAAAATGCCCATGACATTTTAATACCTGCACTGGAATTATCTTCTTCTCGAGTAAATGACAATAAAAAGTGTCTTTACTTAATCAACAAGCGACAACCGGTGCTCAGCCCACTCCGCGGGATAACGTTGATTCCTAATTAATCCCTTTGTTCAACTTTATAAAGTTTAGTTTTTTTTTTTTTTTTGGTCTAATGGAATAAGGAAGATGTATTAATTGATAGTAAAACTTTATATTTTTTTAATTAATTATTAGTTAAACACGTTTTTAATTTAATTTTTTTAATCATTAAAATCATGACTGCCTTTTTAGTACTTAATTTTAAAAAAGTTTATTTTTAGTCATTTTATTTTGAAATTTTTATTGTTAAATACATTGTCACATGTATAAAAAGATAACAAAGAAATTAGAAAAGAAGCAAAATAATAAATTTTAGAGACAAAAAAAAAAGACTTTTTAAAATAGAGAGACTAAAAAGTAACTTTTTAAGTTAAGAGACCGCAAAAAACTTTTATTATTAAAACAAAAAATCCAAAATAAAATTTTAACCATCAATTAAACATGAC